CGGGCAAGCTAGGAGGAGCTCGACCTCTAGGGCAGTACGGAGTGAAGGCTGTAGCACGAGTAGCAGCAGCAGCATTAAGAGCAGCAGGGCGGCGCGCGGCCAGAGCAGGGCGGCGTGCAGCCAGAGCAGGGCAGTAGCAGGCAGCAGCAGGTAGAAGCTCCTAGGGCAAAAGCACCTAGGGCCTTTTTATTATTATTATTTTAATTTTATTTAGGGTTTAGCAGGGCGCTGGCGCAGGGCAGGGCGCTGCCGCAGGCCGCAGCAGTGCGTGACGCGAAGGGCAGCAGAGCGCGACGCGACTGGCTGCCTTAGGGCGCGACGCGCGGGCTGCACCAGAGCGCGACGCGCAAGGCAGCAGCGCGCGACTCGTGGGCTGCCTTAGGGCGCGACGCGCGGGCTGCAGCAGAGCGCGACGCACGGGGCAGCAGCGCGCGACGCGCGGGCTGCCGTAGGGCGCGACGCGCAGGGCTGCAGCGCAGGCGTAGGGCAGGGCGCAGGCGCAGGGCAGGGCGCTGGCGCAGGGCAGGGCGCTGGCGCAGGGCAGGGCGCAGGCGCAGGGCAGGGCGCCGGCGCAGGGCAGGGCGCCGGCGCAGGGCAGGGCGCCGGCGCAGGGCAGGGCGCCGGCGCAGGGCAGGGCACCGGCGCAGGGCAGGGCGCCGCCGCAGGGCAGGGCGTCCGCGCAGGGCAGGGCGCCGGCGCAGGGCAGGGCGCCGGCGCAGGGCAGGGCGCCGGCGCAGGGCAGGGCGCCGGCGCAGGGCAGGGCGCCGGCGCAGGGCAGGGCGCCGGCGCAGCGCAGGGCACCGGCGCAGGGCAGGGCGCTGGCGCAGGGCAGGGCGCTGGCGCAGGGCAGGGCGCTGGCGGAGGGTAGGGCGTTGGCGCAGGGCAGGGCGCCGGTGCAGGGCAGGGCGCTGGCGCAGGGCAGGGCGCTGGCGCAAGGCAGGGCGCTGGCGCAGGGCAGGGCGCTGGCGCAGGGCAGGGCGCTGGCGCAGGGCAAGGCGCCGGCGCAGGGCAGGGCGCTGGCGCAGGGTGACGCCAGGCAGGGCAGGGCAGGGCGTGGGCGAGGCAGCGCGACGCAGGGCAAGGCAGGGCGTGCGCGGGGCAGCGCGACGCAGGGTAGTGGGGTAACGCGGTAACCGCAGTCGGAAGCCAAGTATGGTGGGCCCGAAAGAAAAACGGTCCTACTGCTCTGATACCATGTCAATATAGCAAGCAGGAATGATTGCATTGAATGAAATGTGGGTACAAGTACTAACCCTAACTTCGGATTGTACCCCATATGAGCTACCCCACTATAGCCTACACAGAACAAACACATATATAGTTTGACAGTAAGAGGGTTGGAACTTGGAGGCCATTTGGCCTCCACCGACGTCTTCATTTCAAAACATTGCAGTTCCACCCAATTCTAATGAAGCACATTGCCATTGCAAGAACAAAAAGCAAGCTTTCTCAATATGGTATTTTTTTTAGATACCTCAGGTATATATTCGTCTCTCTCATAGAAGCACATAATACAAACTGTTGGCGTCAAACCAATCCCGGCAAAGCACCCTCAATGGATATTCAGTTGGTGTCAAAGGGGAACCGAACAGCTGAAGTGCTGTACACAGGAAACCAAGTAGCGATAGTTTGACATTGCATTGCATGGATCAGAACTTCTGAAGCCCATGAATCAGAGGAACAAGAGTTTGACAGCAAAATAAAAAGAGAGCAGCTAAGAGACCACATATGTACAGCCTACACCCACCCACCCACACCCACTTCAACCTCTCTACCCGCTCACGCACACGATCCTTACCCCTGCTAGACCATCACACCCTCCAATAAACGGCCCATTTGGATACCTATCCCATCCCCCACCCCCCAGTCCCCCCTTAACCCATACCAAAAACCCATACCTACGTCCTCTTGAACCCACACCCACCCACCCACCCCCCCACCAATGAAAAGAATATGCACACATTGTACAGATGCACAGGCCCACGCCACTGAGAGGAACGCCACGACCACCAGGCGAGGGAGGCCAACAGGAGGCGTGGAGCAGAGACGTCAGACTTTCCACCCAAGACGACCTTTGATGGGTAGAGAAGTTGCAAAGAGATGCCTCGATCCCGCCATTTTCCAATCTCTCCGTCCCGATTCCTCCCGCACACCCTCGTTTCATACCCCGCCCCTGAATCCTTCAAACTCCCTCCTCATGTTCACATCTACACACCCCGCGCCCTGCCCTCCCCCTGTAACTCTCCCCTCCCACCGCTCTCCCTTCCTCCCCGCACACCGCTCTCCCTAATTAAACCGTCACACGGTCACGTATACTTGGTGTATTTTCACCAGTTTTCCTTCATCACTTTGGCTTTCTCCAAAATGAATTTCCCCTCCTTGTATTTCTGCGGCTCTTCATACGCGCGCTCGTACTTCCACCCCAGGACTTCGTGGCACTCGGAGCAGTAGATGTCGGCGACGGTGTGTAACCCGGTAATGAGCATACGATCCTCCGTCGGGCCCACCGACACGTTCACGACGTTCGCGAACAGGTATGCGCGACCGTGCCGGCCCTGCAATTGGACGGTTGTCGACCGCGTTGTTGACGAAGCGGTTTTTTATGTCGTTAATGGTGTTGTCGTCGTGACGTTAAAGGATGCCAGGAGCGATGTACAGGCGCCACCGTAAGACCGGTGCATGAGGGAAGGTAGGGGGTTGAGGAAGGAGGGACGGGGGACGAGAAAAAAAGACGGAAGGAAGAGAGGGAGTAATATAAGCGAGGGAAACGAAGCAACAAATAGAAGATGGGACGCGATAGGAAACTGGCCCATGCGGAATAACTAACGGCGCAGAGGAGCCCCAATCCACCTGGAAAGACTTAGAGATGATTTCGTCGTGGTCTGCCGCATGGCTCCGGCAGTTACTGCAGCTGTAGATGCGGGGACCCTTCAAATAGTGCTTGAACGGACGCCCCATGACGCCCACCCGCTCTAGCGACTCCGGTCGACGGGAAAGGTGCGACGGGAGAAGAAAAGACCGGGGCTGAAGAAGCCGGGGCCTTAAAAAGGCGAGAGAGAGGACACTAGCGTGTGTTGCTGCGTGGGCGTGCGTGTGGCCCAACGCGTATATTTTCGCGGACTTGGGGTTGTTCCTCTCCTGCTGGGCTGATGATGCTTGTGCTGCTAGGAGGAATGGGGAATGACTCAAGAGAGGCTCTAGCACCTGAGGGTTTGCTTTGCATGAGACCGAAATCCTAATGGCGTATGGAGTGGAGAGAAGGTAGCAGTGGATGATGGGATAGGGAGGCGAGGCGAGGGGAATTGACGGCGAGGTGGGGAAATGGATGGAATTCGGTTGGGAACACTAAGGGGCTTGGCTGGTTTGGCTCGGGCGTGGTTTGTGACTGGGTCCTTGGCTCGGTAGTGGGGCGAATTCATTCATGGGATGAATGTTGCCTGGTTTGGGAATGTGAGGAGGCACGGGCGGGGCTGAGTTGATGGCTTGGGGGATGGTGAAGGGATGGGTCTGGTCGGGTCGGTCTGGACGGAATTTGACTCCCTGCGGTATGACTGGGCGAGGGGAGTGGACGGGCAGAATTGTGAGAGGAACATTTCTGCCCTGTTATTCGTTTTGTTTCGTTTCGGTTTGTGTTGTGACCCATTGGCAGCATCCATGCGGTCCGACCTGGAGTCGCTGCGCGCTGAGCGGGTTTCTGCGGGGCTCGGGTGTTGATGGGAGGGCCAAAAGGGGTTCGCTTGCACACAATCATGAGATTCATCCATGGGAGGGGGTCACATGGTCATTCAATGGTCCGTATGATGTTTTCCATGGCATGGGTGAGGTTTGGGGGGAGGAAAAATGTGCCGACGGAAGAGCTGCATGCTCTCCATCCATGTGTGGACGAGTGGTTTCTTTCATACCCGCAGGAGCATGAGGGGTGGGGATTGGGGGGAGGAAAAATGTGCCTGTGGTTTGGTTTGGGGTGCTGTTGAGCTTGGTCATTTGGCTCGATGACTGGCTTGGCTAGGGTTTGGAAACTCCAGTTTCAGGCCCTGGTTTCTGGCTGGGGCAACGTCATCCTCCACGCATGAATGAGCTGGCTCGGATTGGTTCCTGCTGCGAGGAAGCAATTCGATTTGTCACCTTTGATGTGGGGTCACACACTCTGGGAGATTTGCTACATGGTATTCGACATGTGTGATGTGGTCTGATGTCAGACTGAGGACGCGTCACAATTCAAACATTGATCCCTGCGTAGGTTCGGTGTTTCTTGGTACAGTACTTCGTTAAGTTGCGAATTTAAGGTTACTCTGCTTCGTTATCTGTCGCCAATATATAGTTGTCCCCTCGAAGTCACGCGATCGATGGCCCTTGCCACACATCGATCGGGAGATTTTGCCCCATGATTCTTCAAATGTGTCCCTTGAGAATTGCGGTGGGCCGGCGATTGCAAAAATGCAGTCGTGGCACACTGATGTGGCGGTCGATTTGGCAGGTTCGGGTTCCCCGATCCTCGGTATTTCAATTGTGACGCGTCCTAAATTCTGACCAGATCCCCGGCATTAGATGAAAAAATGTTTCGCTTGTTCCTTCTCCGTGTTCTGTTCTCTCCCCGACTGATACAATATGGGCGGGTGCGCGTACGTTTACAGGTACTATACAGTTCATTCGTCGTGGTTTGAAACGATATCAGGCGGTACACTACGGCTTTAAAATTGCACCGTTTTGAACCGTGACGCATTACAGATTACCGTACTGGATGAACTGTAATGTACGGAAAGCGAACGCGCTGGACCCGCCCCAAGCATACCATATCTCAGCATTACAAGAATATACGGTACCTCACCCACAATTCCACCTTCCATAAAAGTGCAGCAACACAAATCAACACTAGCGTGATTATGGAGGTAAGGTGACAAAATGTACAATGCATGCTAGAGAACCATCACAAGATTTCCAAAAAGCCAGCGACCATCACAAACTGCTTCACGAATGTTTTCACCGCATAAAACCGGTCTTCAAAGCATTCGTTGGAATAGTGCCCATAGCCCCTGCAACTGCAACGCGAAAACCAGAGGTTATGATGGAAGGTGATATACACAATAAGAAAATAAAAAAGAGAAAAGAAGCTGAAACATTGCAGGCTATCCAATCCCATCCGGCAAACCCAATCCTACCAAGCAATCTGACTACAGGAACACAATCAATGCGCCGTACCTTGGCTCGCTTCTTCTCCCTGCTGATCCGAGCAGCCAGCTTCGGCTGAGGCGTGGGCCAAGCCATGTTCTCAAAAGGGCTGCTGCCGCTGCTGCTCCGGCGGCCACCGTTCTTCTGACTCTGACTCGCTGTGAGCTCAGTGCAAGCAGCTGCTGGCCCTGCTGGGATAGAATCCAACTTTTCGGTACCAGTGCTCCCCTCGCGTAGCTTGGTGCTGGCGAGGCTGCTGCTGCTGATGCTGCTGCTGCTGTTGCGGCTGCTGCTGGGCTCACTGGTATCAGAGCGGTCCAGCCTGCTGCCCTTGCCAGTGGAAGCACTGGTGGGAGTGCACATGCTCACAGCGGTAGGAGACACAGCAGCAGGGATAGCTGCATTGGCGGAAGCTGTGGGAATTGAGGATGTAGTGTAGGCAGTGGTGGGGGATTGAGGGATGGAGGTGGCAGCAGTAACGTCGTCTGTCTCAGCAGCAGGGGCTGCTGTTGCTGCTGCTGCTGCTGCTTTTTCGTTTCTGCGCCGAGCAGCCCGCTGAGAAAACATTGCAGTGAATCGGGAAGTTCCTGGAGGCAGGAGAGCGAGGAGCGAAGGGAGAGAGGGGAGAGGGGGAAGGAGAGAAAAGAAGACGTTTGAGGATCAGAAGGTTTAACAGCAGAAGCAACAGCAGCCGCTTAGGCAGAAAGGATGTTGTAAGGTGAAATGAAAGGAAGATTGTGATTCAGAGGAACACAGCAGCATGAATTGAAACGGAGGCAAGTTTTGCACGTCAAAATGGTAAGGAAACACAGGTTGTGGGGTAGACAAAGGGGGAGAGGGGGAAGAGGTGGAGGCTGGGAGGGGGTGGGAAGGAGTAATGCAGGGGGAATGCATTGCAATCCAGCAGATTGAATGATTGGCGAGCATCGCAGGATGAATCAAGGTTTGGAAGGCAAGCCATTGCGACGCAAGGCAAGGCAAAGGAGGGTGCTGTCGCCGCGCATGCGGCCAGGCGATTTGGCAAGGAGTACCATAAGGTATAGCTGCTATATAGGCGTTCCTAGAGGAAAGCAAGTACCTAGACATAGAATCGTACCATAGAATCTGGCCGGAATGACTTGACGCTCACTGGGTTCACTCTCCTCAGCCGCCTCCATTGCTGCAGCTACTTCTGCTTCTGATCCTGCTGTTGCTGCTGCTGCTTCGGTTGTTGCTTCGGCTGCTGCTGGTGTTATTGCTGACGTTGGCGCCACAGCCATTGCCCTGCTATCACCGTCGCATTCCCCCTTGCCACCGCCGCCATCCCCGCTATTGTGCGCTTCGGCCAGCTCAGAATGCTCGCACTGGGAAAGATCCAGCATTAGGGAAGCTGCTGCTGCCGCCGCCGCCGCTGCTGCTGTAGCTGCTGATGCTGATGTTGCTGTTGTTGCAACTGCTGCTGGAGCTGCTACAGCGTCTGGTGCCGCGTGCGCTGCTGCTGCGGATGCTGACGTGTTATTTACCCCAACATCTTCCCCGCACACGCTACCGCCCCCACCTATGCTGCTACCATCGTACCGCGTGCTGTTCCCATCGCACAAGCTAGCCCCGTACGCACTATTGCAGCTCCCGTATTCGCCCTGCCAGTCGAACTTGCTGCGGTCCTTCACCTGCTCGTACCGCTCTTTAAACTGTGCAGTGTACTTATAGCCCCGTTTCTCCTGCGGCTGCTGCGGCGGCGGATTCTCCTGTTTCTCCGCCGATGTCTCCGCGTCGCCAGACCCGCCCGAACGGTGCAGGCGCGCTTTGAGGCGGGAGAGCGCGGAGGAGCGCTTGGCGCGCGCCTGGGCGGAATCGGAAGCGGAGGGCTCTGGGGGGCAATTCCACTCCGCGAACTCGGGAATGGTGGAAACATGGGGGTCCTGGAATGGGGGAAACATGCGGAAAACAGGAAGGGATGGAGAAGAAACAAGGAGGCTTTTGAGCCGACTCAAAAGTCAGCTCGGGAATGGTGGAGACATGGGGACCTGGAATGGTGGAGACATGGGGACCTGGAATGGTGGAAGCAAGCGGAAACAGGAAAGATGGAAACAGGTCCAGAAAAAACAAGGAGACAAGACGCCTCACCAATATTACCTTATCAATGCTGGTGTAGAAAACCTTACCAGGACAAAATAATGCTACAAAAACAAAAAACAAAAAACCAATGTTAACACAATTGCTAGTCTAGACGGAGAGAGAGGCGCGCGGGGAAGGAACTTGCGGATTGCGTACAATGACGAGTTAGCGCAAAACATCAGCGGAGTATTAGTCGTGAGGAGAATAATAGAGGTAGTTCTTAAAAAGATAGCTCTTAATTCGTCATTCAGTGGTAGTTAATGGTTACACACCTCATTGCCGTAGTTCAGTACTTTAGCGGCGCGTATCTTCTTCACCGAAACCGCGCCGCTGCTCCGTCGCGACCCCTGCGACCCCTGCGACACGTGCGACATGTGCGACATGTGCGATCCGAGCGACGTGCGCGACTGGAAGGAGGTGCACGACCCGAACGACGGCTGCGAGGAGTGCGACACGGCTGACTTGAAGGACTCATCTCTAGAATCATCATAATCAAGAAGCGCGCCGGCCGCGCCGGCCGCGCCGACCACGTCACGTTCGGACGCGTCTTTAAAGTCGACTGCCGACTGCGGCGCGTCCACGATTCCTCCCGCATTAACATCGAAACCTTCCGTCGCGAGGTAGTTCCGCTGTCGCTCGTGGCTCCCGTCGCCCGTGCGACTCTTTCCGCTGTCGCTCGTCGCACAGTCGACAAACGCGCCGTCGTAGGCCCCGTCGCCGTCCGCCAGCGAGTCGCCACCGATGCTGCTGCAACGGCTCCTCCTGTTGCTGCTGTTCCCTGCGTTGCTTCGAGCCGCCTTGGAACGCGCGAAGCTGCTGCTGATGCTGCTGAACCGCTGCAGATACCCGCTTCTCGCGCCGTCGCTCGCGTCGTGATCGCCTCCAGTCGCGTCGGCGACTGTGCCTATCACACAGCCGCCATGGTCTAAGCGGTGATGGCTGTCCATCAAAGCGGCAGCCATAGCTGCTGAAAAAAGTAACTCTTCAGAACTAGATGGATGGATGAATAACGCGAGGCTTTAGATACTCAAGGAGACAGCATTCTATGGCTTAATTACCTCCTGCGGTAATGCCTACAGTACTATACGTGCCCCCAATTGCTCTGGTTGAGACTGATCGTTGTGAGTTTGGCACAATTCGCTCCGATCTGCACCTCGCCTCTACCAAGATGGCGTTGTTCTGCCTAAACTCGTCTGGACTTTACTGATGCTCCTGCTACAATCACTGTCTGCTCCCTTTTGTGAACCTGCAACCAACAAGTTGGGGGGGTCGGTCGGTGGTGGTGATGCTGGTGGAAAAGGCTAGAAAAGGGGATACGGTAGGGTGAAGTGGACGAGACGAGACTCGAAATGAGAGACTCGAGGGAGGGGAGGGGAGAGTGAAGATCGAGGAGGGAGGGCAAGGAGCGGAGTGTGCGGTTTTTGGGGTGGGGTGGGGAGCGATTGTTTTCTCCTGATCGTGCATCGCCGCCGCCAGCCACGGCAATACATGGAACAAGATGCACGCAGTTATGCGATTGACGGTTTGATCGGGCGACAGACAGCGCACCAATCCCGGCTACGATTGGCTATTTTGGTCCAGGTCGTGGGTGGGGGGAACACTACAGTGTTGCGGCGATGCGGGAAAATAACGGCATCCGTCCATCCGTCGTTTAGAAGACGCTAGCAGGTAAATGTAGCGGTTTGTCCGCCAGGCCTCCGAGTCCGCCACCACCCGCACAACTCCACTTTCCGCTTCAACTTTCTGTGCTCATATCAGTCGCCCAACGCGCATACGCTCGCTTGCCGCAACGAACTTCACGCGTTTGTTCGCGCTTTCATCGTTGTTGCGGTGGGGGCCCCTCCCTGTTCCATCCATGCTATGGCATGTGCTACATGCCTCGAATTCTGAAACGTCCATCTTGGTAGGTGGGTGGGTGGGTGGGACGTGTACTGTAGTGTTGGATGGACCCATGGACCATGGCCCACATGGCTATGGATTGGTCGGCGGGCGCGAAAAGAAAATGCGAGGGGGGAGGATGTGGCGGATGGCGGGCGCAAGGAGAAATGTTCAGGAGAACAAAAAACGGCCATTATCTCCGATACTCAGATTTTGCCTGAGCGCGTTCTCAGGTGTAATCACCAACAGAAAAACAGTTTCTCGCTATAGTGGGAAGCTATTCTGGCTCATGTTTGTATACAGTCACTCAAAAAAGGAAGTCAAGCACTTGCAATAAATAAATATAATGCCCGTAGCGAACCTATATGTTTTCCGGGAAGGATCAACCATAAACACCGAAAGCCTCCAAATACTCTGGAAAACATATTGCAACCCACTTGACCAAAAAAATAATACCCACCTCGGAAAGGGATGCGACTCGGGAGGCATCAACCCTAAAAACAATGCTCATTTCCGTGTTTAGGGTTGACCCCTCTCGAAAATGCATCCAGGTTCCCTAGGGGTTTTATTTTTTTCTGCCATGCCCAAATAGGTCTCGGTAGCGTCGTCTAGTGCTTTCAGTAGCGTTGTTTAGCGGTGGGTTGCGCTACTGAGCACTACCAAGTTAATTATGTGGGCTTCATTCTCTTACTACCTTAATTTCCGTACATTTATCCAGGTCGGGAGGGTAAAGTGAATGGTTTTTTTTGTCACTTCCTAATGAGTTCGACCAGCGTGAGAAATGTGACTAAAAAGCAATGACCAGTCAACGTTGAGAAAGTCCAGGTTGATTACACCTGAGAACGCGCTCAGGCAAAATCTGAGTATCGGAGATAATGGCCGAACAAAAAAAGTATCGGTGTGATTGTACAGATTCAAAATTTATGGACGGGCGCTAATCGACACTACAGTCTGGCGGATACAACCAAGGTGATTTTCACATGCGGGCAGATTCGGTGTGGGCGGGATGAATGTGCAGTACAGTATTCGATGAGAAGAAACGAGGAATGGAATGACTAAAGGAAAGTTGGGTACAAATGTAAACCCTAGAAAACTGTACCCCATATGTGCTACCCCACTATAGCCTACATTAGCTATGTCATATAAATCTGACACACCCCCATAGGCAAAGTGGGGGAGAACAAGGGGTCACAAGACCAGTCAAGCAAAGCAAAACAAGCTCAGGGTGGATCACAAAGTCACCACACATTCCGAGCACAAGTTCAAGGCCACAAGGCCAGTTCACATGCAGGATTGCATATATATATAAGGCTAGACAAGCAAGAGCAGGTGTATATATATATGCAACAGTACAAGCAAGGTCAAGGGGTGAGCAAGTGAGGCAAGGTAGGCACAAGACCCAGCTGAGTACAGAAGCGCTGATGATCACAAGGCGGAAGTGCCTTGGTGAAGATATCAGCAGTGTTGGCCTCAGAGGCCACGTACGCAAGCCGTAGCTGACCACGCTGCTGTAGCTCACGAGCAAGGAAGTAGCGGAGAGCAATGTGCTTCGTTCTGTGCTCCAGTCTCTGCTCTCGACACAAGGCCAGCATGGCCTTGTTCTCTACGTACAGCACTGCAGGAGAACGAGGCGGCTCTCCGAGGTCAGTGAGCAGGTAGGTGAGCCAGCGAAGCTCCTGTGCAGCCATGACCCCGGCGTAGATCTCAGCCTCACAACTGGAGCCGAGAACAGAAGACGAGCGGGTAGCCCGCCACGAAACAGAGCCGGAACCAAGGCTGAAGGTGTAACCCTGTGACGACCGCTGCGTAGCCTGGTCGTCAGCCCAAGAAGCGTCTGCGTGCCCAGTGAGGACCACTGGACTCTGCCCTCCAAGCACAAGCCCCATGCCTGACGTACTGCACAAGTAGCGCAACACCCTCTTCGCTGCAGCCATGTGCTCCGGTCTGTGTCTCCCAGGAGCAACATAGCGTGCAAGAATGCTAAGAGGGTATGCAAGGTCAGGTCGTGTGCAGGTCATCAGGTACATGAGGCAGCCAACAAGCTCTGGGTACGGGCCACTCGACTCTACGGACTCATCCGAAGGCAGAGCTGAGAGCGAGTGGCGAGTAGGCAGAGGAGTGGCCTGAGGCGAGGAGTACGTGAAGCCGAAGCGCTGAAGGACCTGCTGCACCATGTGTGACTGAGTCAGGGTAATGGTGCGGCGTGCTCTGTCCCGGGTGATCTGCAAGCCAAGGTAGCTGCGCAGTTCACCCAGGTCTGTGCACGTGTGTCTCTTCTGCAGCTCGGACTTCACGTGGGCGAGTCCAGCAGTGTCAGCTGTGGCAAAGACCAAGTCGTCGACGTACACGAGGATGTAGAATGGCGGCAAAGAAGTGTCGGTGCGCAGAAACAGCGACGGGTCGGCAGTAGAGGGAGCAAACCCAAGAGCCGCAAGTGTAGTCCTCAGTGTGTCGTGCCACTCACGCGGTGCCTGGCGGAGACCGTAGACTGGCCGCCGGAGGCTCCACTGGGTGCCAGGAGGAAAGGACCCAGTGAAGCCAGGTGGGCGACGCAGCCAGATCTCCTCGTGCAGGCTGCCCTGCAAGAAAGCAGTGCTGAAGTCAAGAGAGTGCAGCTCGTAGTCGCGGTGAGCAGCTATGTGCAGCAGTACCCGAAGAGTGGTCATCTTCGGGGTGGGAGAGAAGGTCTGAAAGTAGTCAACTCCCTGCCGCTGACTGAAGCCACGAGCCACGTAACGCGCCTTGAAGACAGGCGGAGAACCCGGCGGCCGCTTCACCCTGAAAATCCACATGCCACTGACGATGTTCGCCCCAGGCGGGGGAACCTCGTCAACGTAGGTGCCTGTGGACTTCCAGGAAGCCATCTCTGCGTCCATAGCTGCCTGCCACTGAGAGGAGTAAGGATCCTCTATCGCCTCCGCGTAAGAGCGCGGAGTCGGGATGTCAAGTGCATCCGGGTCTCCCTCAGGGGTAAGCAGTACGGACACGAGATGAGGTGAAGCAGCAGCCAGACACTGGAACTCCTCCTGCCTGTCCTCAAGGACGTCCG